ATTAGATTTAGACAGTGCATTTCCATATCTGATTTTTCATGATCTTTGTCGAATGAAGGCTTTTATCCTGTTTAGTATGATATGCTTAATACCAATCTTCGCCAATTTTAGAATCAGCTTCTCTTTCTATACAAAGTCATATGCTGATTTGAAATCGATGAATACAGCCGTAAGAGTATTTCTTGCATCAAGGGCATCTTTGATATGGAGGGAGAAAGTAGCTACTTGTTGGTTAGTTGATCCTTGTGGCCTAAAACCTGCTTGTTCACTCCCAAGAATATTGTTTGTCTCAAGAAACTAGGTCAGTCTCCTGTTGACCATTCTTTCCATAAGTTTAGCCAACATGCTTGTGAGGGAGATAGGCCTATAGTTGTCAAAGTTGCTAAGGTCTTTGCCCTTTTTAGTACTGGGATTACCATGGCAATGCCCTTTTTAGTACTGGGATTACCATGGCAATTTTCCATTGGGTAGGTACGAGACTGGTCTCCCAGATTTTGTTGAAAAGGGTCAGCATGGTTTCCTTGGCTTTTGATCCCATTCTAATTAGAAATTCCGGATGAATACCATCTTCGTCAGGAGATTTTTTACACTTTAGCTGTTTAATCGCAGCATTAAGTTCGCAAGGTTTGAATGGTTCAGTAATTACATGCAGCATTAAGTTCGCAAGGTTTGAATGGTTCAGTAAGTATATTATTTGATATTGTATATAATGAAAAAGCTCCTTATCTGTCAAAAAACAGCCAAAATAAACGTGCTCTATGCCACATGTCTTCTACCTCTATACTGTTGAAGTGGAGTAACTAATTCTGGGAACTTTTTCAAACTAGGAGAACTTGCAACAGAGATTACTGAGCACAAATCAAGGCTTATTATCATTATTACTATATGTGATATGTTGAAGTGATATGACAGTTAACTACATATTAGTATATCGAACAACTTAAAAAATTTCTCCAATGGAAATGATTCATTAAGATTTGATGGCACCCTTTTTCTACGTCGGGTGTTTAAAATTTAAATTCGTGACTGAAAATATTTAATGTTAATCCTTATTAGGAATAGTTCGAGTTCGAAATGGCCGATATTGCTGACTGCCCTATACTCGAATACGGACTCGAAATGCACAATGAAATCGAAATTAGTAGAGAAAGAATGCAAATTTAGAAGAATATGGAGCTTTATTAGGGGCATGAACATTCAGAGTTCATGTATCATAAAAATGAACCAGTATTGTGTGGAGAAAAGACGGTGACTAATGAATAATTTAGTTGTCCTGGAGATCAATTCTTAAAATTTAACAATATAAGCCAGTTTAATATATCTGTACTTTTAAATACAGGAATCTATGGTAATCATGTATTCAGGGTCACGAAGGAGAAGTTAATAGTGCACTCTAGATATTGAAAAATTAGGTTAATATGATAGTTACCGGTCTGATAACGTAAGATTGGGCGTGATACAGCCTAACCGCTTTAGTTTTCCGACGCGAATAACGCTTGTTAATGACATTAACAAGAATGGTAAAAAGAAGTAGGCAACCATATGTAGTGACGATCGCAAAAATGGCATGTTTATATTCGACAAATGAACCTTACATAGTAATTTTAATTTAACTGTACCTGGAGTGTAGAAAATATATTTGTTTGGATCTCTTTTAGCTTCCGAGAGTGTCATTCCCAAGGCAAATGGGGCGAAAAGGAGTACAATCCACGATAACATAACAATAGTAATAAAAATTTAAAATATTGAACTACCTAAGGCAATAAAAATTCATCAGATTAAATTATTAAATAATTGCAATCTGGCGAAAGATTGATACAATTTTTGTCGACTTCTATTTATTATAAAATGGAGCATCGTATTCATAAATTTTGATTTTTCAATTAAATCAAGTTAAGCTGATTAACCCATGTATTTCGCGGCTAATAAGACTTTATAAATTTACAAAAATAGACAATAAATTTCCATGAATAGTGACAATCGTAATCAATTCTACTGAGGTTCGATTACCTTTTATTCTTAAAACCCATTTGTTAACCAGTTATACTGCTTAAATTTCAGATATAACATAAAGTTATTATCAATTCTGGTCACATGTTTGCTCATTAAAAGCAATTTCAAGATATTTTCGGCACTCCAATATATAGTATTTGATACTGAGATGGATTTAATGTAATTTAATAAATTGTCTTTGAAAATTTATAGGAGCAGATGTAAGGGGTCAATATGTACCATTTTCAAAGAAAAATAACAAATTTTGGTAGGCAAATTCTCATATTGCTGAACCATTTTCTTGGGTTTGCTACCTTGAGTTCAATGAAAGTATTTCTAACGATTTTTCATGCAATTTATCAGATTGATTTACAAAAATTATTTTATTTCACAACCATTTCATATTTAAATGATTTTCAAGCGCTGTAGATGATAGGCCTAATATGTGAAATACTCTTTATTATATAAAAATTGATAATAAGAGCTTGACAAAATTATGGAAATTTATTATCGAATATATTTTTTCATTGTTATTTACTGCCATTATCATTGATTGAGAGTCCATTGTCATTGTCTTCTCTGAACCATCAAGAAAAATATCTGATATCCCTGCTAGTACAATGCAACGCAACGCGTCTAGTGAGAAGACTACAGCAATTCTGAAATATAATGAGACTGAAGTATATAGGATTGCAGAAGAGATTTTACTTTCCCCAAACGCCTTCCTGTATGAGGTGGTTCATTTACCAATAACTTCATGCTGGTAATGAACGTAGTGTTCGGATAACAATTGTAGATAGCTCGTTCATAATAGCTCTAATTCATAAAATATTCGAATGAAAATCTCTGTTGTAAAATGAAAGTCACGAAATAATGGATTCCGAGATCTCACACTTCTCTGACCTCAGATGGAAACCATGTGTGCATGCAGACATTCAATTAGCTCTTGGAGTTCTTCATGCTTTCGACCAGATACAAAATATCGTTCAAATACCAAATCAAAAATATTTACAAAACAGCAGAGATAGAAAAGTGGAAAGACGAATTTCAAGGAACCGACACGTGAGAAGATATCAGTTTGCATAACAATGCAATTCATCTGCTCGATTAAACAGCTTGTCAGCAAGACGTTATTTACAAAAAAGTAAGAATTTATTTGTTGGTGAAATCTTCCAAAATGGTTTCATTATTTATATGACTTCATTTTCATATCGAGTATGTGTTAACATCATAATAATGCTGGATAATTATACGTCGGATTGGCTGGCAAGTGAGTGCAACTCAATTTTCATTCCCACATTTGTGATCTTCCTTCTGGTGCCGGGTTTTGCTATAACGCTGTCCACCAATACAAGAGAACAACAGATAGCAGTTTTCATCCATCATAAAACCAACTGACAAATGGGAATAGTTAGAAGGCTCAGTTTTCTCTTTCCTATCAAGTTGAAGTTCAATTTTAGCTTCCTCATGCATTTTAAATTTAAAACAAAATATATTAAATCTATATCATTCATTTATTGCAATTCATAGCTTATTAAAAGATAATTAGTTGATAATAAGGTGACTGCACTCTAATTAGATTGTGTATAGAATATTTTAAAGAAAATAATTTTCACCGATGGCAGTATGTTAGATTTTGCTATTTCTCATTTGGCATTCAACGTTAGGACAAAATAATTTTTCAATTGTGAAAATGCGATTTTCATGACAATTGCTTTAAATTGGCCAAAGTATGAATGTGTTTCTGACTCCATTTGATTGCTCAAACATTTTCGTGAGCTACTTTTAAAGAAAAACCGATTTGTACACAGAATTTTTTCCCGCTACATAATTTGTGGACAAATTATCTTTCCTATAACGATAAATTGTTTGCAGCACAAAAATAAATGGTGAAAATTCTTTCGGGTTCGTTCTTTTTCATATATCTTTGCCTAAATTCTTTATGCTATTTCAGAGATAAAAAGGGTTGAGAAAAATATTTACTATTTAGGGTACATTTAAAGGGTTAAAGTCAGATGGAATCCACAATCAAAAAACTGGTGTTCACTTTGATTAGTTCAACGGGCCATTGAAATGCTTGAATGACAGTTATTCAAAGCGTTTATTTCTTTTCTGCAACCTGTAAATTTCACCGATTTCTGTCTAAAATTGAATAGTAAAGACGTAGGTTTTCACCGAAATATGACATATTAAGTATAATTACTCACATCGGTGCAGATTTCCTTCATGTCAAATCGATCCTCTCCACTAAGAAGGTCTTTCGTTGTCTTACTAAGACACACGTGTTTTGGAGCCGCAAATTTCAAAATATCCCTTGCGTTTTGCATTACTTTTCCGAATACGCAGAGACTAAAGTAGAGGATGAAAAGAGCACAAGTCTTTGTTGAAATTTTGCAATTAATGAAAGTAAAAAACTGAAGTAAGTGAATGCGTTACTCTAGTAAAGTTATAACAGGTATGTGTTCAGTAGATCTTATTCACATAGTTTTAAAAACAACTAGGGAAAGAGGGGTGTTTCTTAAATGTAACACAAGGGACAAAATTCAATATCTAATTTCCTGATAATTTAAATTTATACCTTTTACTCTTAATTGGGCCTTGCATATATGTACATATAAGACCTAATTCTTTTCAACAAAGCGTTCATTTCCTATTCATTCTTTGTAACCTATGGTACTGGGGTTCAATTATTTGGTTATCTTCATACTAGGTAAATATGATTTATTATAACGGTAGGTTGCCACCAATACAATACAATGTTGAGGAAAGAAAGCAAAAAATTTTAGTAAAAGGGATGGCATCTCTATCAAACTGGCCTGAATAAGTTCAAAAAAGGGTGACTGTCTGGTTTATTAATAATCTAGCGATGAAGAAATTATTAATAATGCTATTAGATTTAATAATCGATATTCCATGAGCTTCACAAAGCTTGATTTGGTGTCAGAATAAAAATGCACTGCAATGACAGATACCACCAAAGAGATTTATGCACAGGAAATCACAATCACTTACGAAGGTACATTTCCAGGCATTACTCCCATTGCAACAGCTCCAGTGTCTAAAGCGATGGCGAATTCTGGATTGACATCAGTTCTCGGTATCTTACCAAAGCATCGCAGGCAGTTTTGTAAATCAAGAGCGCAATCTGTTACAGATATGGCCTGCCTAACTGAATCATTGTCTCCACCTTGTGGATCGCTCGTCATCATTACAATGGTTCCTTAGGGAGAAAATCAACTAATTTTCCAGTGGTTTCTCAAATAAATAAAGCTTTGTTATTTTGTATAAAAAATGTATCATGTAGAAAAGTTGCTAGAGAAACCCCATGAAACAACCCCTCTATCAAACACATCCATTTCGATATTAACACAATAGGGCGTATTCAAGTATTCCTCACCCTTTCATTACTATCAATGCAGGTATAACGATACTTACAGTGGAGTATTTCATTTATTACCATTCCTTAGAACTGTCTGAAATGTTAGTTTTGATATAATAGCGCGAATATTTTTGTGTGCACATTTAGAATTAAAAATTAAACATACCGAATGACGAAATGCGGAGGATTTTTCGCTCCTCAATAATATTTGTCACAAGTCGGTTTAATCTATTCAGAGCTACAACAATCTAAAAAGGAAAAGCAATTAAAATATTAGTGAACTCCAATTTTAACGATTATTGAGCATAACTATAAATATAATAAATGCCAATTTTACAATATGTTAAATACAGTTAAACGTCAATTAAAATAAAAGTAATTAATTGTTGTTAGATATGTATGCATTAAATATTGCTCAGTGTGTTCTCCTAAACAAAAATTGAAGAATAGTAATTGTAAAAACTAATGCAACATTTAAAGAATATTTTATTGAAATGGGCAAATTTACTTCTTCGGGTGGCAAATTTAGTGTAGACTCGTAAAAATTCGGCAAACGTAATGCACATATAGTGACCTGAAGATAGCGGTTTGGTTTCATGGCGCTTTCTAGAGCCTCCATCTCATCAGACCCGTTCGAAATGGCCTCCAAAGTCTTATCAGCAAGAGGTTTCGGTAAAAACTCCCTCATTAGCGCTTCTTTAACTGCATTCATTCTTTTCTCTTCTTCATCCAAACTTGCTACCTTATGTTCAGCGTCTTTCATTTTCCAATAAGAAAACGGAAATTAGATGTGTGCGCACTTACTTCTCAATTATATCCAGATATATTTCGAGTCCAGTTTTTGACAAGTGAGGTAGACCAGCGACCATCTTCTTAATTACTGATATGCTCGGACGATTTGTAGATACAGTATCAGTACATTCGGTGATTACTTTTTCCAACTAAATAATAAGCTATTATGCGTATTAACTCAGCATCTTACAACTTCTGGAACATTAGTAGGTATTTCAAGACTAATTTCCCCTTGAGCAACAGCTTCAAGTAATTTAATTTCTCCTTCATATTCTGGGTCTTTTTCTGAGTAGGGAATTGCTCTAGCCCATACCTCATTTACTATCACACCAAGACTGTAAATATCAACGGCAGGATCTTGGAAATGTGAAAGATTTATCTCATAGCTTCGCTTTTGAGTATCTTCTTCCCCTAACTCCTCAATACGCTCAAATTGCTCATCAGTAGCTTGAATGGGTTCTTCAGGATATGAAAACAACTCTTTTACCAGAGGGAGTTCGAAGCAGAGACACTCAGGTGGTCTCCAACGCAGTCGCATTACAGCATTCATATTAATACAATTCATTGTTCGGCATTTACGATCTGATGCTGGTCTAAGGGCGTTAACCTTCTGTAAGAAGTCAATCATTTTTGATGGTAGGTATATATCTGAGTTGTGAAGACGTCCATACTTTTCAAGGATTTCCACACACTCCCAGTCACTAACTTTGATGTTGAAATTGTGGTCAAATTGGCAGCACTGGGAATTTAACTTTCCATGAACAATTCCATGGTCGTGCAGGTAATCAATGGCATCGATTAGCTGAATAATGACGAGTACCTTTGCTTCATAAGGAAAACCCATTGATGCACAATGCATGAAGTAGAATATATTCTCGCCCGTGCACTGTTCGGTCACTAAATAGTAAGTGTTGATGTCATTATTCTCGAAAGAAAAATTAAGCCTTTCCGAGAAGTTATCCCCAGCTGCAAATCGAAAATCTCTCATCTCTTCGTCTTCAGCTAATTGAGTATCCGTTCTATCGACAATATTTGCTAGTCCATGGAAACGAAGAACACGACTGTGAGAAACTTTACGTAATTCTATCAGGGTCTTACGTGTATTGTAATCAAATATCCTTGAAAGTGGTATGTGAGTTGGATTAAGGATGACGCTAGTTGATTTATATATACCGCAAATGGACTTTGAGTCCACTGTATTGAAACCAGGAACAAATAGAGAGCTTCTTTGACAACTTGCTCTGCATTCGAATTGGGTAAAACTCTGTCTAGAGGAGGTTTGTGGTATTAAAACTGAGAAGGATTCCAAACCCTCAGCCTCTGGTGGAACTAAATCTACTTCGGTGATTTTCCACACATCACCTCTGATTTCTGCCCATTGACTGAGAAATCGTCGCATCACCATAACCCCAATGACCAAGAGGAGAATTCCAAAGCAATTTGCTGCCACAGTAAAAATAGTGATATTATCAAGATCGCCATCATCTCCATCGTCATCATCATCATTATTAGTAGTACCGCTATCCTCTTTTGCTTCAAATTTGTGTGTGTATAAATCTACTGTAATGAGACTTTCATCACGACTGCATTCCATACTAGTTAAATAGGATTTGAGTACTCCATATTTATCTCCAATAAGAACGCACGAGGCATTATTCAGAATATCTCTCGCAATTTCAGATGTTACTACCCATTCAAGGAATCTTTTCAATTCAGTTGTCGCTTTACAAACATCGGGATTGAGTTTACCTCCACTGGTATACCTTTTTTTGAGGATTAAAGAAATTGTCCTTACAAGAGGATAACTGAGATGGTTTGTTGGATCGAAGATAAATGTCTCAACTGAGGGTAACAGTGGTCTCAATATTGTTTGTCCATTCGTAAGTTTTATTGATGTCATGTTGAAGATCTTAGCCCGAAAAGAGGTTGAAAAGCCAATGGAAAAGGGAATAGCATAGCAAAGTGCTGCAGTATCAGAAGATAGGGATTGTAAGCAGGTCAATTTGTTCGAAGTCTCCTGCCTGAAACAAAATTGGTTTCTGTTGTGCATAGAATTCCTATTTGACTCCCCAGTAGAAATTGGGATAATGGATTTTTTCGGTAGCTTTATATCTGGAGAAGAGAAATTTCAAAGTAAAGATTCACCTCACCTGAATTAAGATCTTGAATGTTCGGATCATTCCAAAGTGTTACTATTCCTTGAAAAATGTCGTCTAAAACTTGTGAAGTTAGTTGAATTGAATCGATTTTCCTCGTTTTAATGTCTTCTGAAGGAACATTGGCCACAGCTACATAAGGCCTATTTGAAAAACATTGAAAAAATGGTAATTAAACAATGATTAAAAACAACAATATACTTCAAATGAATTTTATCTCAAACTTTTATTAATGAGCTTAAAGTACGGTTAATCGTATTAGTTTGCTATGTCATTTACACTTGAACAGTCTGAAATACAAAATGTAATGCATTACAATTCGCTCCTTCCCTTAAATGGGTGTGTTTGTATGAATGTTATGGACTGGCAATTAAAAAAGCAATTTGACTAAAGCAAACCCTGTATATCGCTTTTAGAGCTCGTAATGGACTATCACCAGAAAAGTCATAATTGCTGGAGGAATTAATAACGTTCTAATTAGCAACAAGTGACTCATTAATTTTCATAGGAAATATTTGATAAATGTAGAGAATTTTGTTTTAAGTCTCATTCCAGGGGGTTGTAAGATAGAATATTTCCGGAAAATGAACAGACTAAGTCAATGAAACACTATTGATAAAAATAAGCCACACGATGCTTAAAGAAATAAAAACTGAGAACAACTTTAAATTAATTGGTTATATTGCGTAATGAGTCGAAATAGTAGGCACCCCTAAACCAATTAATGTGCCGACAAACATTACCATTGAGGCCATCGAGTAGGTGTCTCAGTTAAATTAGAATGCGGGAAGTCAAAGCGAAGACGATTGGACAGTGGGTAATTAGTTGTAATTATGAAATATGTACCTCTTAAAGGGTTCATAATTTATGGATGACTAGACAACAGTAGAATTACTTTGATTGAGGAGAAATTAAACGGAGGAATAGGTTTATGAGGTCACACACTGATTCCTTTGCAGCCACCAGATTAGTATACTGTGGAACAGCGAATCGATTAAACTTTATAGGAATTACACCTGGGGCAATTTGCATAATTAGTGATTGCCAAACTGCTGCGAATGTTTCCATCTGTTATGGAGTGGAATTAGAGCAAGGCAGAAAAGAAACATCACCAATTCCTACTTTAATTGATTTTAAAATACACATTGATTTCATAAAGCCAATCAGAGGAAAGTCACTGGTTGTCTATTTTAATAAGGTGGGCCCCTCTAGTTGTTGAGAGAGTAGATAAGAAGTGATAGATATGCTTGCAGCTCATTTTAAGGCAGTACTAAGACTTGTGGCTTCACAGGGGGAGCTTCGATAGTTTTGGATTGGTGGTAAATAGGTAGGGCCAGGCCAATATAAACGATTATTTACTCAGAATGCACTGACTCAACGAATGAACAATATTGTGCTTCCTCTTATTTTGGTGTAGCTCAAGCTGTCTGCTCACTGGCAATGGGTGATCCAGATCTCCGGTGACAAACTGAATAGTAAGGACGGTTGACTAACTGTGAAAAAATAAAGAACGATATGCAGAAAAATGAATTTGATAGTGTTAGAGGATTTAGGAAGGGTAGGTGAAGATTTGCATGAAATAGCGGTTAAAGTTTAATCCAATTGAACTATGCTTAATTGGTTCACTATTGCTTGATAACATGTCTAAACTTATTTGAATGTATTGAACATTAAAAACAATCAACCACCTTGCAGCTAGTTTCACCTAGTACCTTTAACAAGTAGAAGAGAGAAATTTATTTATTCTATTTAGAAAACCAATTACTGAATCTCGCAGCTCATTAATCTATTTTAGAACTTTGAGGTCAATGCTTCAAATTTGAATATTTGGTCATGACTCAGTGAACCAAATACACTAAGCAATAATGAGCTCACTTGAGCATAAGCAATAGTCATGTATGACATCTACGTCTTTACCATCCTCTCCTATTCACCACTGTTCTGGCTTAGATGCCTTTTTACGCCTAAACTTAAAAACACTGTTTTGAGGTAGGAAATAGTAAGACCAATGTTGCATGGTACAAACTTATAAGGCCAAATGTTAAAAACTAGTTCAATTATTAGACTTACGCATAAAACAGAGGGAATTGTGTCAAATTATGTGCGTCTAGACTTGAAGAATTGGCTTCAAGATTTCCAAAGACTGCATAGAGAATTGCCGACGAATTTGGATATTCCAATTGCTGTAGGGATTTTTCCATTGAAAGTTCATAAAAGTCTCCTAACACCTAAAGATTTAAATTGAATAATTAAGCGTCAGTTCATTTTCCTAACCTGAACTTCTTTTAAACGTTCAACTGCATATGCTTCGAGAAAATTCTTGAAGATATCCCTCACCATAGAATCTCCGCATCCGTTAAGATAAACAACGTCAGTTAAGACTTTTGGAAGAATAAAAAGGATTAAAAAGATTCCTCCACTTTTTTTGCGCATGTCTTTCACAAGCTATTGCTGTCACTTAAGTGGGCCAGCTATGAGTTTGCTACCTGGTAAAAATGGACGCGCCAATAGAATTTCTCAAGTGAGACTAGGCGAATTTATTGGAATACTGGCGCCAATATAATGCACTCAATTAATTTGTCTCTCTCAATTGAGGATTCCAAAGATAAAAGGGGTCTTTAGAAAGGGTTATTAATGATCTCATCTCTTGGAGAAAAGAAGACGCAATTATTGTTCTGATCATTATGAGAGACGTTTCATTTTATGAGGGAAATTAATTTGCAGTTGATTAAGACTCACCAACTCAAGGGTGTTTCACATTCAAAAAGCCAAGTAAATTATAATATTTCGAATCAATTTCACCAATAAGTGGTATGGAGTAACAAATAAAGTTGTTAGTTCGCTGGTGGTACAGTAGTTAGAGCACACACTTTCCAAGTGAGAGGTCATGAGGTCGATTTTTCAACTTTTTTAAATTCAATGTGTCGAGTTGTCAAAAGCACTTGTTTATTTCAAGTGACTCAAGGAGTTAGGCGACTGAAGTTGGAGTGGCCAGAATGAGATAAATTTGTATCAGAAAAAAGTGCCTTTAGAGAGGGAACGGGGTAAAATTGCACCTGAGTTTATTTAAAGAGTTTGCAAAAGAGTTAAAAGACAATGTGGAAGTCCAGCTGCATGTTTACTTGTAAACACGTGGCCACGCGACTGAACACGCGATAGAGAGAGAGCCTTGAGTCCTCATAGAAGAGGGCCAATGTATGCCTGACGGTAGGATCTATTAGGTGGAAGCAGTTATGATAATATATGAGCTCTCTAGGAGAATTAACTGAAACTAGTCATAAAAATACTGAACAATTTATCAGAACAAGGTTCTGATAAGCACTTTAAACGAATGGCCACTGCTCAAGTTAGTTGATGTGCGCACTTCCTCTAATGAGCTTAATTATTCAATACATCAACTGAAGTTGAACGAATACCTAGGGTACTTGAGGTGAGCGTATGTGCTGAAAAGATTTGAAAATCACGCAAACACCGAAGCATCAATGAGAAAATTAATTTAAATTCTTATAATGTAAGCATGGGTAAATTGGGTTGAGGAAACCAGAATAGCTTACTTCATTCTCCCCTCGATTTAACACGATGTTCAATTATTTTTATATCCGCCTTTCTACTTACCTCACCTTCTTAACGGCTCGAAGTCTCTCGTGTCGTTATACTTTAATTGTCTAATGAGGTAGTTATAACGACGTGAAATGCAGCCCTATTTTGTGTACCTACGTTAATGTGTGACAACAAAGTTTACTGCACATATTGAGCATTCGCGATGCGTCCTTTTTACTTTTCATGCATGTAATTCTCCTTACTCCCTTTACTTCCATCGAAATGACTATGATTGCGAAGGCATCGCTTGTTTACGCATTATGTATAACAATGATTTGCTGATTCAAGATTAGACGTGTATTTTCTGTTAGAATATGAAGCATGATCTGCAAATAAGACGTGCTCTTCCTAGGATCTTGGAACTCTCTTGTACTTTATTAATTCGCTAAACCAAATTGCATTAATGACTCGTCTGAGCAAGTCAAAAACGTTAGGAGAAAGTACACTTTTGTTTATCGATTAGTTTGCCGTCTAATGCATAGTAAAATTAATATCAAATCTTTAATCAATGGAAAATATCAAAGCACGTAAGATAAGTTAGTTCAAAGGTTTGGGGGGTAGGAGTGAGGAGAACCCTTCATCATCTAAAATCAAAGATAACCAACTCAACTGCTTTTCAATTTAAGTTTTAATAGAGCAGTCTTACCTTGTTGTACCCCTCTTTACACGGAAAAAAAGATGACATAATTTCATATAACTTTGCAACAATCTGCTAGCACCCTCTCACCTTACTTTCATTTACAATGTATTGATGATATGGATGGCTTCAACAGGTTATAGGTTCTCATTTACATTGTGGTTACTATTAATAATGTGTGGGATGAATTCAACGACGATTTCGTTCTTATGTGAATCACTTTGCGAACCACTTGCTTGTGCAAGTTTGGAAATTTTAGCTTTTTCGCAAGTGTGGTGGTGGGGGGGGG